CTTTTTCCTAGAGTTGTTTTTAATTATGGGGCCGTAGCTGTTAATTATCAGGTCCGTTCCTCCCTGGAGAAATGAGAGACTAAGTATTAAGGTGTTCGCGATTCCTGTTTATCACAAGAAGTACACAAATTAAGTATGAGAAAAAAAAAATGATCACGGACATCACTACTGTTTGTTTCTCTTTGTAGAGTGTGTACGTTTCACTTGGGACTGAATCCAGGGACTGGATACATGAGCTATATACACTGAGCCGTGCACAGCCCCACCTTTTTTCTTTTTTTTCTGATTTTTTTTTGTTGTTGTTTTGAGATAGGGTCTCGCTGTCTCAGCCTCCCTAGTGCTAGCATTACAGGCATGTGCCACCAACCCGGCTTTGTTTTTTTGGGACAGGGTCTCAGTCTGTAATTCAGGCGGGTGTTGAACTCACTATGGAGCCCAAGCTGGCCTTGAACTCATGGCAATCCTCCTGCCTCAGCATTCTGACTGCTTGGACTACAGGGGTGCACCACCATGCTTGGCCCTTTTTTCAATTTTATTTTGAGAGAGAGTTGCTAAATTGCCCAGCCAGGCTTCAAACTTGTGATCTTCCTGCATCAGCTTCCAGAGAAGATGGAATTGCGCGCTGCCATGCCCCGCTCCTTTTACATAAACAGCACAGAGCATTGCAGGGTGTTTGTTCTTAGTGATCACAAAGACAGAGGTTTATTCTTAGTATTATTATATGAAATTAGAGAAAATTATGAGAAGATATTAACCATCTCTGAATATTTATTCTTTCCATAATTCTTTCAACCTTTCTGGATGATTGAAAATTTTAAGAGTAGCTGGGGAGAGAAAACTGCACCAGGCCAGCAGAACGCAAATGGGCAGTAGGCACGGCGGCGCGGTCTGAGCGACCCGCCTGCGCGGACAGTTTCTGGCGGGGTCTCCCTGAGTCCTGCGCCGGCTTCTTCCCGGAAGCCCGTGCCCTACTTCCCCACGCTGTCCTTGCTGTGCCTTCCTCTCGTGCTTGCCTCCGAACTAGCAGTAACACAGCCGTGTACAGCTTCGTGTGATTTACACTTATTTCAAAGTTGATTTTCATGCCTGAGATTAATGTGAAATAAACAGGTGAATTCATATTAGAGTGCAAGCCAGGTATGGGGATGCACACCTGTAATCCCAGCACTTGGGAGGCTGAGGCAGGAGGATTGCTGAGAGTCTGAGACCAGCCTGGGCTACAAGGTGAGTTCAAGGCCAGCCTGGACTGCATAGCGAGACCCTGTCTCAAATAGACAAAAACAAAACAAAACAAAACATATTACAGCTAAATTAAGGGGCAAACAAGATAATAATGGTAGCATAAATATTTTTCCTGATGTATAGATAGCACTGTGCTAAATATAAGTAAAATGTATTTGTTAAATATAATTGTATAAAGTTTAATATAAAAATTGAATAAAATTTAAAATAGGCTTGTTATTCTGAATTTTAGGAAAGTTTGCAGAAGAATTCATAGCAGGGCTTGGCAAACTTTCTCTAAAGAGCCAGAGTGTGAACATTTTGGGCTTTGCTTTGCCACGGGTGGCTTGTGCTGTACCTCTCCCCATAAAAACCTTTAAAATGTGAGCGAGCACTCTCAGCCTGGGCTGGCCCACGCCCCATCTGTGCAGACGGCCAATGGGAGCTGCCGTGACGCCGCCTGTGGCTGGTTTTGACGTTAGACAGGGACGGTTTTAGGGCACTGCCCTCCTGCCGCCCTTGTGCCGCTCCTACCACACGGGCCAAGACTGGAGCGACACCTGAGACATTTCCTGCCTCCCCTGGCCTCCTCGGGCCACGAGGAAGGCTCTTCAGGCGTCTGGTCAAGGGGTCCACACGCTGAGATGTCCTCGGACTGGGGTGTTCCGATAGCACCCCAGTGGACACAGGGAGGACACAGTACACACAAGCGCCGTGAGGTCTCCAGACACTCATCCCTTCGGCGGGCGCCTACGCTTTTCCTGTCTCTGTCATCCTTTACGCGTTGGTCTTTTACCTATTCCCATCTTCTCCCCCCCCGCAACATGTTCTCTAAAGAATACTGCACAAAGGGAGCGTGCATGCCCCGGCATCCAGCATGTAACCTGTTGGCAAGTGAGCCGTACACAGGGAGGGAGGGCGCAGGGGGAAGGACTGGGCAGCGGGCCAGGCCCGCACCCCGCACCTTGGCATCGAGGAAGCTGAGCGGCGCGGGTGCCGGCACCGAGGGCTCCGGGTCCTCCGCGGCTCTACCGAGCCTCTTCCCCACCTGCGCTCCGGCAGCCGCGGCGGCGCCAGCGTGAGGCAGCTGCTGAGCTCCACTCTGGGCCGCCTTGGAGGCAGATGACTTCCTGGAAGATTGGTGAAAAAGACAGTCTTCTCATTTCACAGCCGGCCCAGACAGTAAGAACCTTCAACTCACAAGCACTATGATTTACTGTTGTGGCTTATTTATATTTGTACAGAATCACAGTGTTTAAACTTGGTGTCACTTTCCTTCAGGTTTGCGGACTGTTACACTAACCTAGCAACTCACTTGCCAATTAAGGATGGTAAATGTACAACAGTACTGCAATTTAGGCATCATTAGAACAATGTACATAAAGATTTTATTTGAAAAAACTCTCAAAGTGAGAATCAGGCTACACAACTAAGCCAGTTAAAAATGCACGAAGATGTTAAAACTAATTATTTCATTCATGTTGGGTTTTTTCAGGCTGGCCTTGAACGCAAGGCAGTCCTGTCTCAGCTTCCTGAATGCTGGCCTTATAGGCATGTGCCACATGCCTGGCAGAACTAAGTCTTTAACCAGCAGGTTTTCCAAAAATGTCTCTACACACAGGCACCAGAACACTGGAAATTCTATGCCAACTGAGGGAGTCTAGTGCTGGGGCTTACCTAAAAAACTGTGATGCTTTTAATTTAAAAAAGAACCTTAAGAAAATCAGTGAAGGCAAAAGCCAAGTGAGACCCCAGCTGTCTCTCATGGCTGCTTACACAGAAAGCACTTCAGGAGCCAGGAGCCCTTCCAGGAAAGTGACATGTGGGACTGAGGGGTTGCTAACAACAAAACTAATCTTGAGAATATACTTCGCATTTCTCAAAATACTAAGCAAGTGGGGAAAGCAGGTCCTCATTTTGGATTATTTAACAGGCATTCTAAGCTTTTCAAATGGCAGTAAAACCAGCTCCCCACGCAATGAGCACACTCTCACAGCAGTACGAGATCAGTAACAGCACGCTCAGAGCGGAACGTCCGTTACCGAACACGCTGGGTCTCACTGTTGGGCGCTGTGGCTCAGCAGGGCACATACCTGGCCTTGCTCCGGCAAATCAGGATGAGAACGCACACCAGGATGCAGGTTAAGGCGATGCCCACACCCACTGCGATGCCCGTCATCGACTTCTGGTCCAGGTGGTAATATCCTGAGGAGACTGCAAGGGGCACATGTACTCGCATCGGGCATGGAAGAGTCCACTCGTCAGAACGCTCAGGCATTTGTTTCCCTACAATTTTTCTTCCTCTCATACGAACAGTTTTGATGTTATTTATGTCTACTGTATATACAGTCATCATGAATTAATCTGTGATCAGTAATTTTAGAGACTATCTTCCAGTATGGAAGTTTTAGATTGTATTATACCACCCTTGAACGTAAACTAGAAATTTACACTATGAATGGCACAAAACATAGGTATTCTTTTGTGGGTGTGTGTGGTTTGGGAGACTGAACCCAGGGCTGCACACTAGGTAAACACTCTACCACTGAGCTACATCTACAACCCTTTTTTTTGTTTTGTTTTGTTTTTTCCGGTACCGGGAATCAAACACGACCTTGCGCTTGCCAGGCTGCGCTGTGCCGCTGAGCTAAATCCCCAGCCCTACAAACCTTTTAATGTTTTAAATTTTTGAGACAGGATCTCACTAAGCTACTCAAGCTGGCTTCCAACTCAGGCTCTTTCCTTAGCCACGTAAAGAGCTGAGTGACAGCTGTGTACCCTGCCCACCACCTGGCCACAGGTGCTCTCTGGTGTGTCAAAGAGCAGCTTTCCTGCCATGCTACACAGGTCTGCACGCTGAACGTTAGTTTGCACTGATTCCCATTTGGACAGCGCTTCCAAACTAACGTGTCAGAGGGGCTGGGGATTTAGCTCAGCGTCACAGCACCTGCCTGACAAGTGCAAGGTCATGAGTCTGATTCCTAGTACCAGAGAAAAACCAAAAAAATAAAATACAATAAAACAAACTAACGCGTCCGAGTCAGGAGCGGAGAGGTCTGCTAGACCGTGGCTTCTGAGCTGGGCCAGGCCCTGTGTCACTGCTGTCCATGACACAGCACTCTGACCCCTTTCAGCTGTCCTGAGAGGCAGTCGTGATGTGCTGTTCTTCCCCGAAGATACTGAAGCTGCTGTGCTCACCTCTTCCCTGCCCTGAAATCCGACTGCAGATCTCCCCGTTTACCTGCACACACACTTACACCTCGACCAAGCCTGGGGCCTGGTCCTTCAAGACAGACCACAGCCGCACAGCTGAAGGGAGGTGGGCCTTCAGAGATACGCTCTCTGCTTGCTTTTCTGGAGAGAAGCCACTTTCTTTCCAGAAAGACCGTTTTCCTGAGGTGAAAACTCATAATGTAAAGCCAGGCTCTCCTCAGCCTGAGCACAACCCTCACACTTGCGAGTGTGTGTGTGTGTGTGTGTGTGTGTGTGCGCGCGTGTGTGTGCATCTGTGTGCATGTGCGTGCGCCTGTGTGCAGGAGTGCAGGCCTTCTGCCCTGTGGGCTGCTTGGCTGGGAGAAGGTACCCTGGGGGCACAGTGGTCTGAGAACTGCCGTTAATTCTGAGGTGGACTTGCTTGTTCCTAGGGTTACAGAGAAGAGCCGTAGCCCCAGAACGTGAGAACTTCAGGGCACCAACTTAATATACAGGCGTGTACACACGCACACATTTCAGGCCCTGGCAGCTGTAGAAGCTGAAATAAAGCATACTGACTCTGAAAATTTTTTTCCTTAAAAAAAAAAATCAGTGACATGGTTCACATACCTTTGGCATCCGCAGAATCTAAACGCTTGGGCCTCTGATTGGATGCAGAAGGGTCCTTTGGAAGCACTGCCAGCTCCACAGAGTTGGAAAAGGGTCCTTCTCCTACCTCATTGGATGCAGAGATCTTGACAATGTACACATCTCCTGCCACCAGGTTTTCTAGCAAAGCCATGGTGATGGCCCCTAAAAATAAATTAATTACAAATTCAGCAAATGTCCACCATCACATGAACATGGCCCTTCATTCTAAAAATACTTCTCTGATTATGAAGGGGGATCTTTCACTGCAGAGCATGCGGAAAATAAGATCAAGTCCCCGTTTCCCACCGCCGCCGTTTGGACGTACTGGTGTGCGCAGCGCGTGCCACTGTGCGCACTTCTCTGCCTGCTTTCCCTCACACTGCACCTGCGCACTCCCGCAGAGCCTATCTCTAAAGCTACCGTCAGAGGGGTCTTTAAAAAGCAGCATTCGTTTTTGATTGGAGATAGGTATGTGTCATGTACACGTTTTTCATATAAATGGCATGAAGAACGTTAATTATGGGGTAGTTCAAGCACACACACACACAGAGAATGGTGTGGAATGAACCCAGATCAACAATTAGAGTTCTGACTTTTTAAACCAAGTGAGTCTTTTTTCCCCAGGAGAAGTATTTAAACTACTAAGGTAATAGCGACGGTAGGTGCTCTGTTCCTCCTGAAATTGGAAACAACACAATTGTTTCTGAAAGAATGACTATGTTTTTCATGGGCTTAATCACTATCTCAAGATGTCTTCACGGTAAACAAGAAAGGAAGCACAAAGTTCCACTGCAACTCAGAACGCTGGAGACCAGGCTCAGGTTAGCCGTCAGAAGAGCCACTAGCCACCGCCTAACACCCTCCGGACTGTGCAGCATACGCAGCACCTGAGGGCGAGCCCGCCGAGGGCTCCTGCGTGGCGTTCGTTGTTTTCTGCTCTCCTCCTGTGGCTGTGCCCTAGGAACTAACCTGGACGCTCAGCAGCTAAGCCACAGAGCTGGCCCAGCACTGCCCAGACGGCCTACGCGGCGCTGGCTGCAGTCACACGGACAGGCTGGCTGCTCATCTCACTGGCCGTTCCCCCTTATGCAAGGACGTGTGTGACCGTGGAGTGCAGGTCAGGACACAAGGTCACCTCTGCAGGTCACATGGTGCAAAGCAGCCAAAGCCCCAGTGCAGCGCCAGGAGCCTGACACAACTTGTTTTCATGTTCTCTGCTTTCAACTTGGCCAAAGAGCTTGAGCCATTTGAGTAGCAACTGCGAGGTAAACAAACCGGCCCCATTTAGAGCCAGGAAGCCTTCCTGACTGCCACCGAGCCCCGGGCAGATGCACTGTGACACATTCAAACTCGACAGGAAGAGGAACATCCAGCTTCTTCACAAATAGAGATACACGTAAAGTCTCCATTTGATCACAGAGTATGTGACTTCAGAAATGCTCGGCGAATCTGTTACTTCCAAAAGCGGAAGGTCTCTGCGTTAGTTTGTAAGTGGGTCAGCAGTGTGCGTGCACACACTTCCCCTCTACCCGCGACGTGTCTTCAGGTAGACAAAAGGAAACGAATGCTTTGCTTCACCTGAGCACAGGCAAGGCCTTGCCCAAGTCCTCCAGGACTCTGAGCGCCCCTGTGGCCTGGTGCGACGTCTCAGTCGTAGCAGGTTGGCGAGGTGTCTACTAACTTTCACACACACCCCACTCTTCAGCTTGGCTTGGGCTTTCCTGGGCAAGACAGGGCAACAGTCTCTGGGTGGACCAACAAGCATCCAGCCTCAGTGGGCTTCCAGCTGAGCACCTGGGACGCAGGGCAGGTTGCTGACGTGCTTTCCTCCTGGCACAGCAGCTCACAGCTCCTGCCAGCAGGAGGATAATGAACTCCATCTGCCTCACCGGATGCAGCGTTCACACTTACAGCACTTTCTCCCACCCGCCCCTCTCCCCTCTCCCCTCTGGTGGACACACTTCTCCCATTTGAACTTGAGGTGGCCCTGAAAGCTCTGCACAGGATGATTCTTAGTAAGTGTCCACCAAATGTGCATGTTAGTACGAGCTACCTGTGACCAGAGACCCATCTCAGATGATGCGCACAGGGACTGCGGTCCCTGCCCCATGGACCCTTGGCGCGTGGCGGAGTCGGGCTGGAGAGCTGCGCTGGTGCAGCATCAAACCTTCGCCTCTCCTGTCCTCCTGCTTCACAAGGCACAGAGGGAGGGAGGGACCTGCGCACCCTCGCACAGGCCTGCTGGGGCTCAGGGCCATTTTCTAAGGCTCAGCCATCCTTTTCCTAGCTACCGGCTCCACCAGGAACGGAGCCTCAGTCTCTGTGAAACACAATGCGTGCTAGGAGATGCTAAGGCCCAGCAGGGCCTGTGGGAAGGTGAGAGGATTTCTCAGTGACGCTGGCCCTCAGTGGAGGGGGTCCGAAGACCAGCAGGCAGCCAGGGAAGGGCCACGCCACAGAGGGATGGGGGTCAGTGCAGGAGCCAGGGCCAAGGCCAGGGCTGGAGGCAACAAAGCCTCCCTGGATGGGCGGAACGTCTGGCCAGGAACGTGAGAAGAATCAGGTGACAGACGCCCAGTCCCTCCAGGCATCTCTGCTCTGCTGATTTTAGGCAAGTTACAATTAACGGTGCTTGCAAACGTATGCTACAGGCCCACTGCCAAGTCAAACCTTCCTGCTGTGCGCCAAGGCGGCCCGTGGCCCGGCTGAGGCGCAGTCACTTCTGTGTCCCAGAGCCTCCGGACAGACCCCCGTGGCCCGAGCCGGGGTTTTGCAATGGATGCTGCGCTACATAAGCACACTGCCCAGCCCGCCGTTCTCTGAGTCATGTGATTCTCCTTTGAGCAACCGCTTTTCCAGCTCCACGCGCTCCAACATCACCGACAGGCCCACAGCTACGTTCTCCCCGGCCGTGCTGCCGGGCGCGCTCGGCCTCTCCACCTGGGTATCTGAGCGCCCTCTCAGGCTCACAGTTACAAACAGCTCGCTCTCTCCCGCCGACGCGGCTCCCCTTCCCTTCTCACACGCCTGTCTCCCCTCCACTGCTGATCTGCCATCCAGTCTGGTCTGCTCTTCCTTCAGGTTATATTCCAGGAGCTTCTTCATTTGCGGGGGATGTGTTGAAACAGGGTCTCGCTCTGTAGTGCAAGCTGGCCTTCAACTCACTCGAATTTGTGGTGACCCTCCTGTCTCAGCCCCGAGTGCTGAGGTTCCAGGTGTGTGCCACCACGCCCAGTGCCCCAGTAGCTGATTACCTTCACTACTGCCACCCCTATCCAAGCCTTGCCTACTGGACGGCTGTCCAGCTCCCACTCTTACCTTCTTACTATCATCTTTTCATGTGGCTACCGCAGCAATTCCTTTAAGTAACCCTGATCAAAAGATCGTCTTAGAATAAAATCCACAGCGTACAAAGCACAGTCTCTGAGATCTACCCTCGGTTAGCTCTTCCATTTCTTATTCATCCTCACCTCCTTGATTTCCAATTTTCCTCCAACACTCTGTCTCAGGGCCCTTGCACTTGCCCCATGCATCTCTGCCCTGATACCACTTCTTCCAAGAGCACTGACCTTACTGTCTCCACCCACTTCTACATTTTTTCCTATTGTGGCTTTCTTTACTACGTTTATGGCAGGACCTAAACATTTCCAGAGTCCTACCTCAGTACTTCAGGCATGTTGATAGGAAAGTTTTGTCCTGGTACTTGTTTGTTACTTGAATGTGTGTTGGCTCGTTACCTGGGGCACAAGCCCTAGAAAAGACCTGCACGCAGCACTCACTCGGGAGGAGTCTGTCTGGGTGGTGGGGCAGTCGGTACTGCAGCACTTGCCTGGCGCGCAGGAACCCCATGACATCCCTAGCAACACACACACACACACACGCACACACACACGCGCGCGCGCGCGCGAAGCTGTTTAATAAAGGAGTATGCTCCTACGATTGGTCATCCGACTCATCTGGCAAACAGAAGGGAAAGATTCCTTTATGGCAGCATTTTAAATTACCAGAGTGAGTCTCTAGTAGGAATGGTGTGTGGTGATTTGCAAACTTATTTATAATCAGAAGAAAGTTTTGAAGGAGGAGCATCGGTGTCACCTCAGGAAACTCAATAGAGGAAAATTCCTGAGATACAGCATAATTTCTTTCAGTGCCTTTTAGATTTGAAAATAATTGAGTAAACTGTGCTAATCTACTGCACCGAAGGAAGGTAAATGCTGTAACTTCAGTTCTGCTTTGAAGTATACAGAAGTACAACAGCGCATCACATTTCTGCCCAGCCATTGTAGCACGTGCCATTGTAGCCACAAATACTTTATGTAAACCAGAAATATTTTTAGAATGTTTTGATTCATAAAAGATACTTTGCTCCATTTGGTGCTAAGTATGTGAACTAAGTATGTATAAACTTAATATATGTAAGGTTATTAAATTATGGGATTGAGTTCTCTTTTTTATCCATCTATTTCTACACTATCACCTCTCTAAAAGTTGCTATATTTAGATATAAAAGACAATTTTACATTTCATTTTCTCTTTAAAATGCTGCACTCCTTGCTTTTCATTAAATGTGGGGTAAACCAACTCCCTCGTATTTTCCCTTTCAGAAATGTGCTCAGTTGCTTTTACTTGTACTGTGCACCTCTTGCAGTAGCATCAGCATCAGCCATGGAAAGGGCTCTCAGCACTTCACAAGGGGCAAAGCCTTTCTCCGTGAGCCGGCCCAGCAGCTCCTGACTGCACTCTCCAGGCACTGCTCCATTAGCCTGGCACTGCCGGCCACAAAACCTGCGATGCCTGTCTGTCTTCTTACCAAGGTGCCACGGAGGCAAAATGCTGTTTTCTGAGTTCTTTCCCAAATTTACCTGTGAAAAGAGGCCCAGAAAATCTTGTTTCTTTTTAGGCAGGTACAAGTGAGGGAGAATCTCAGAGATGTGTGCTCACATACTCAAACTTCCTTGCTAATATTTAGGACGCCTCATCCAACCAGGTTTGTCATTTGGTCACACTGTGTCAATGATCCATCTGGAAGTAATTTAAACTGGACTGCACGTTTTAAAATCATACTCAGAGCCCCCACCACCACCACATGCTGATCAGCCTGGGCTCGGGACAGGACGGTCGACAGCAGACGGGGCTCATGTAATCGGTGAGCAGCTTTGTACCTGGGCCTCCCTCTTCCCAATTCTGAACCCACCTTTGCTATTTCCAGACCTCCCCGAGCCTGCCCAAACTGTGACACACAGGAGAGCACCGGAGGCCCGCCCCGCTGATGGCGGTAAGCTGGGATTCCAGGAGTGCTGAGGAAGGCAGACTGCTGTTTCCATTCTAGAGTGGCCTGGGAGGCAGCACAGCTGCCAGGAGCGTCAGCTGGCAGGCATTACCTCCACGTTTGTTCAGCGATCAGGGGATCGTTACCTCTGATAACGAAAGCTAGGGACACACAGCTATCGAGGCTCCAGCTGACGCTATCGTTCTCTCATTCTGCAACCCTGTACACAGTCTTCTTTTGTGAGGCAGGGCCTCGCTATGTGGTTCTGGCTGGCCGGAATTCACTACGTAGCCCAGGCTGGCCCATTTCCTTTTTTTTCTTTTAAACCAGCTAACTTTATTTTTTAGTTTTGAAAACAAAACTTGTTACAGGCATTCATAAAGTTTCCCAAAAACATTACGTTCTGCCTTTGTCACCTGGATAGGACACGGAATGTTTAGAGGTCCCCCAAACACAGGACAGTTGAAGTGGACAGTTAACGAACTACGACACACAATGGACCCTCACTTCGCGCACACTAGGGTATGGAACACGTACACGCAAATTACTGACCAGCGTCCTGCAGTCTGCGTGTTGATGACAGCTTACAGTACCAGATAGGTAATGCGGCCCAGGCGTCACACAAGGTCACAAACATGTTCAGATGGAGTAGTAAATTCAACCCTGATTTAATTAAAACCAAAGCGAAACGACTGAAGGATCTCCTTCACCCGGGGACGTGCCCGGCAGCTGAGACGCCAGCCAGTCTCCCTCAGAGGCGAGGCGCAGGGGGAGGATACGGCACAGTAACAGCGTCCTCCTCCTGCCCGCTCCCTTCCCCGTGTCAGCAGGAAGGCTAAGGACTGCACAGGACAACAATGCAGAAAAGCACAGGTCATCTGCACAGGTGGATGTAAGTCTTCCACACGCCAAGAAGGAACGCTCAAGGCCATGCTGGAAGGAGCTCCTAGAGTCTGCAGGACCGACCCAATTCCAAATGGAAATGTCAGTTTCCTTACACAAGTCTGATTTAGGGAAAGGTCTGTGAACTTTTATTTATTTAGAGGCAAGGACTCACTCTGTATCCAGCGTAGCCTACAATTCTCTATGTAGCCCAGGCTAGGTTGGCTTTGAACTTGCCATCCTCCTGCCTCAGCCTCCTAAGTAAGTGCTGGAATTATAGATGTGCACCAATGAATTTTTATCTAAATAGGTAGAGACTTTCTTAACTTTGACTAGAAACTCTACTCTGAATATGATGATTTTTATAATCATTTTGGTCAGTGGACTTAGCAGTTGTCATTGCTTTCAGCTGTCCTACATTTAGAGATTTGGTAATCATAGTAACACTCTCTAAATTAACTTTTCCCCCAGTTCACGATGAAACAAGGGCATGTGGCCATCTCCTTTTTGAAATTCTTAAGCTTTTATTTGTTTGGCAAGCAGCTCTTTCCCCAGCATACTCGTCTGAACTAAGGAAGTATCAAAATATGAAATTGTACTATTTATGTGACAGATCATTTAAGTCTGCTATATGAAACTTGTCCAAATGAAAGATTTAAGATTTTTAAAAGCACATAGGCTGGGCATGGTGGTGCACACCTGTAATCCCAGCCTTTGGGAGGCTGAGGCAGGATTATCACTGTGAGTTCGAGGCCAGCCTCAAACTGGGCTATATACTGAGTTCAAGGCCATCTTGAACTGCACAGTAAAGCCCTGTCTCCAAAAGACAAATAAATAAAAAATAAATAAAGGACACAGTGATAAAAGTATGCAGTAAGAATGTTAAGAGTTTGGCAATTTAGTTTTTCTCAACTAAAAATTAACTAACGTTTAAATATTGAATACAGAAGGCCGGGGACGTGGCTCTGCAGTCAAGTGCTTGTCCCGCACGTGCCTGAGCCCCCAGCCACGATCAGCGCGTTCAGCGTCACCCAGCCTAGCCAGCTCCCTGTGTGCTGTGATCACTGACCCTCGCAGGTCTGTGTGCTGACCTCGCCACCCACAGCAACGTGCCCTCCCCCAGTGACCCCCGCGCCGAGGTCACTCAGACGCTCCTTCCTCCCCTGCACCCAAGCTGGCACCATCTCCTCCTTCAGCCTGTCCACCAGCGTCCTCCCCCGCATGCTGTACCCAAGACCCCGCCTGCACCACGTCCCACCCGTCTGCCCGGCCCCCCGCCCGGCCCCTCTGCCCGGCCCCTCTGCCCGGCCCCTCTGCCCGGCCCCCTGCCCGGCCCCCTGCCCGGCCCTCTGCCAGGCCCTCTGCCCGGCCCTCTGCACACCTCGCACCCACTGCTCTCCAGCACACTTCTTCCACTCACGACAGAAGGAGCCATCGTCCCAAACTTGATTCACTCCTAAACTAGGCAGTGGCTGCCCGACGCGTCTGCATGAAGCCCAAACCCTTAACAGCTCGGCACTTCTCACACAACAAAACCATCCAAAGCGAGCTCCAGGTGCTCTCTCCCTGTGCATCCCTGTGCCACCACATTTTGCTTTTCGTAACCTCCTTACTCCTTTGTGACATCTTTACCTCCTCGGTGAAGGACCTGCCACTCTCCCGCCACCCAGGCCTTCCTGGACGCGTACAGGATCGTGTAGCGTGTGACGACTGTTTCAGGGCCATCGGGCGGCTTCCACGAAACCAGGGCAGTGTCGTCCTCTATCAGCGTGACTTTCACTCCAACTGGGGGGCCTGCTGGCGCTGTGTGCACACGTGAGAAATACGGCGTCACCAGGGTAAATGGTGCAAAGACATCTCCCTGTGACAGACTCGCAAACATAGAAAATATGAAAAAGTAGAAGCCACTAGAAAGAATGCTAAGCATCACTTTTAGATCTTCAAGATCATCAGTGATAACACTACAGTATCACTTTTTCTTTTTTAAGAATTTTTTTTTTTGCGGTACCGGGGATCAAACTCACGACCTTGCACTTGCCAGGCAGGCGCTTATGCCACTGAGCTAAATCCCCAGCCCGTTTTTAAAATCTTATTTCACTTCCTGTTTAGAAGATTAAAACAACAACAACAGCAAAGGGCTGGGCGCGGTGGTGCTGCCCACAGTTTCGCTATTTGAGAGGCTAACAGTGACAGGAGATCACTTGAATCCAGGAGTCAAGGTCAGCCTAGGCCACAAAGCAAGACCCTGTCTCCAAAATAAATACAAAGAAGGGAAGGAGCAAGAGGCGGGAGGGGAGGGAAGCAGCAGTTTCCCAGCGGGGGAAGTACTAAATCAAAGCAGTGGTATTTACAGGACTCCTGAACAATGTTTGCTAAGCCGCTAACTAGAAGAGGTTACACCTCTGCCAGCAGTATCTGTCCAGATACAGGTCCTGTGCCATTGGTCTTTTTCTTTTTTTTTGGTACCAGGAATCAAACTCAGTACCTTGTGCTTGCGAGGCAGGCGCTTGTGCCGCTGAACTATATCCCCGGCCCTGTGCCATTAGTCTAGACTGAAGTTCTTACCAAAATGCAAGGACACTGTTTATGCAAGGACAGTTCAACCCCATCTAAAGGCCTCTAAAGAAAGTGCTTCTGAGACCAAGACATCTGGTTCTTCCCCACGCATGGCGAGTCAGGGAGTTTACAGAGCAAGCTGAAAACTAATCATCTGTATCTGTGAAGAGCAACAGAATCTGGAATTAGTGGGGTCATGTGTCACTCGAGGTGCACGTGTGGCCTGGGGCTGGCAGCACCAGCTCTTCCACGGGGCACCGCTGCAGTCACGGTGAGAAGCCTGGTGCTTCCAACACGCCAGCAGTGCATGCAACTCCCCCGCCAGCACACAACGCGGGTCCTCGTGGGCTCCTGGGGCACCGACAAAGGTCACAAGGCAGTCGCTTCTGTTTTCAGTTTTGTGGGTTAGTCTGGAGCAGCACAGCTGTGTGAAGAACTATGGAAAGGCTTCCCTCAGAAGACACCAACCTGAGCTCCTTGCTCGTGTGGTTTTTTTAGTAGGAAAAAAAGTAAAGGAAAAACATTTCAGAAGAGGTGAAACACACACACACATCAGCTGGAAGCAGGGGAAGAAGCGGTTCTCCTCTCAAATGTTGCGCACATGAAGTGCTCCCTGAAGGGCTGCAGAGCGGAAACGCGTGGGGAACGCCTTACCCTCCGGAAGCGTGGTGTGGTGGACGACGGGGCTCCAGGGGCTGGAGAGCTGGCCCGCGTGCAGCCGGACCGCAAACTCGTACCTGGTGTTCGGCTCCAGGCCTTGGACCAGCATGTGTGTTTCTGATCTGCAGAAGGGTAATGAAGTAGTTACAAGATCGTCAGCATTTCCAACAAACAGGCAGCACAACCTGCTGCAATTCTTTAGCTCCTCATTTTCTTTAAACACAACTTTCTGATGACTGGAGGAGCCTAATCTATTACAGAAGTACAGGTACGTCATCCTAGAGAAGTAAGACTACTAGCTGTCACTCTGAGAGGAAGCCGGAAATCGACATGGAGAAACATCAGAGTATGCAATCACTTTTCAAGGTACCCTGACGGATGCCTTTTTAAAAAAGACAGGATCTTGCTATGTAGTACAAGTTGACCTTGAACTCACTATGTAGCCCAGGCTGGCCTCAAACAGCGATCCTCCTGCCTCAGCCTCCCACGTGCTGGGATTACAGGTGTGGGCCACCATGCCCAGACGGACGCCTTTGTAATTCTGGCATTGAAAACAAGAGTGACCACTAGCTGTTTTCCGAGACCAGCAAGAAAATGGTCTTTTGTTTCTTTCTTTAAACTTGCGAAGGTTAGCTGTGAAAATATCTCCTTGCCTCATCTTGTTGCAGGAGGCTGAGAAAAGTTTAAAACTCACATGTACATTAATGTGAGAAAAGTGCAGTTCTGAGAACTGAATATGGTAAAATTATTAGAGGCAAAAAACTCCCAGACACCTTAAAAGTAACTAAGGCCCCAAACACACACAGCTGAAGTGCGGCCTGGCCCAGGCTGCAGGAGGCGTGGCGGAAGCTACGTACGTCTGCAGGTACAGGACCAGGGAGGCGTTCTGCAGCCCCACGGGGTTGCAGCGGATGGTGTAGTTGATGGTCTGCGCAGCGGTGAACGCGGGTCTCCGCCAGTGCAGGAAGACAGAAGAGGAGCTGTTGGCCTTGGCGTAGAGGTGGCGGGGCGGTGGCGGGGGAGGGACCACGCGGTCACGCACAGCTAGAGAGAGAGGAACGTTCATTTTGCACGCGAGACGCCACGGTGAGTGTGCAAGATGGCAGGATGGTAAAACTCCTGCTCCACCCTGTATGCTGGTCTGAGGTCTTTCCTCCACCAGGGAGCACAGTGGAACGGAAATTTCCCACCCTCTCCTGACACCCTTCCAAGAGTGGACAGGAAGTCGAGGGTCATCAGCACGTAACAGAGAGACACAGGTCAAGCTCCTAGCAGAAGCCACCCGGAAAACCAGCAGGGCACTCAGGAGCAGAGCAACATCCCCTGTGGCAGCCGGAGAGAAACAGCACATGCCTCAGGGAGGCGCGCGAAGAGCTCAGTATGTTCGGTGTTCACCTTTTCCCGTTAGGAATCTAATGGTCTTTTGCTTGCAAAAGTGAAGTAGGTATGCGTCGCTTTAAAAGGCTGTGTACCTCCTTCCTGAGCAACTTCTGGTCTAAGACACTGCCAGGTGGCTGGGAGTAATTAAACCACCCAGGCTTCCAGGTAGACTGACACTTCGAGGGGGAGTGGAGGAGGAGGTAAGGGGGGTGGGGGCACAGGCACTCACACACACATCCCGGCGTGCTGACGGTCTGGTCAGCCTGATAGCCGTCTTCGACGTTACTGTAAGCCAGCAGCCTCACGTGGTACTTTCTTCTGGGGTCTATGAAGAAACGAACGGGTGATCATTAGGGCCAGCGCTCTGGGTGAAAACAGACTTCTGGACAGCGCCGTGTAGATTCTGGGTTTGAAAATCCTCTTTGTATGTGTATGCAGGGCACTGAATCCAGGGCCTCTGCCCTGTGCTATATCCCTATCCCTTTATGTTTTATTTGAGACAGGTTCTTGCTAAGTCATAAATCACACAGGCTGAGCTTGGACTTGAAATTCTCCTGCCTCAGCCTCCTAGAATGCTGGGATTACAGGTGTGCACCACCACACCTGGCTAAATAAAACCACCCTACATAAAAGTTCTAAGTAAAAGGACATTAATCTTCCCCTAACTGTGCGTGACTCAGTATGCACTCAGGACCCTGTTTTGTCACAGTGCACCAAGGCAGGGGCCGAAGGTGACACACCTGGGCCACTCCTCCCCTTCCTCCCAAGCGGCCAGCCCTGACTGTGGAGGCCTCCGGCACCCAGCGTCACAGAGGCTGCCCCACGGGACCTCAAGTTCGGCAGTCACATTCCAGGGCAGCATGCTTAGACGTGTGGAAATCCGTGACCGGCTGCTTTCCCTTGAAGGACAGAACCAGGAGGACACTCGAAACCCTTCACGCTCTCCTTGCTGAGCATGCGGAAGTGCTCCTAACTGTGCCCTCGGAGCCAGCCAGCATTTTGAATGAGGAAAGACACCGAGAATGGCAGGTGGAGCTCCCTCTACTGGGGCCCAGTGGCTACTGCAACACCGAAAGAAAGGCCATCCTGGGCCTCTTTCAGTGCTTTGAGGAAACCCTGTAAACGGTTACAAGAAACTTGAAAAACAGAGGTTAATAATATAAAAACATTTAAAGATAACCATGGCCGGGTGTGGTGATGCACGCCTGTAATCCCAGCATTTAAGAGGCTGAGGCAGGAGGATCACTGCTAATTTCAAGCCAGCTCTGGCTACAGTGAGATCCTGTCTCAAAAAACCAAAAAATATTTTAAAAATTAAACAAATAAAGATAATTGTGAAGTAGTACTTTCTTAGGACAAAAGTAAATACTATTCAGAAATACTATGTTTTCCTACGATACTTTTCTAAAGAGCATAAAACAAATGCACAGCAAATCTAGTATTTCATAAGAGCAAATCACCTTTATTTTTATTCCATCTATCCAGTGTGGAAAAGGACTTGAAATTGAGAAAGTAATCTTAGAGAGAATTCAAACATTTAAACTAAGAAGCAGAATATGTGGTTTATGGAATTTTCAAAGCCATTTAAGAGTCTGTGAAGTATTTTAGAAACTGATAAATACATTGTAATACTTAGCATTAAAATGAATTTAAAAGGTACCATAAAACACACAATTTCCACGTTTTGACAAAATTAAAACCACAAGAAAAACTCCTACAACTGACAAAATCCCTGTTCTTCTGAGACAGAAAAGAACCCTAATGTGAGCCTCAGAGGCCAGAAGACAGTACTCTCTTTTTTTGGTCTTTTTGAGGCAGGGTCTCGCTGTGCAGTTCAGGCTGGCCTTGAACTCACTTTGTAGCCCAGGCTGGCCTCGAACTCACAACGATCCTCCTGCCTCAGCCTCCCAAATGCTGGGATTACAGGCGTGCACTACCACACCTGGCCAGAAGACAGTACTCTTGCTTTGGATCTCAGTCTAGTGACGCAGTCTGACTGATAAACGCATACTCTAAATGTAAGTGTATGTGTTGACTGCACAGACTCAAGCACGTTTCCCACTCCTAACTCTCATTAATTTGATTTGGAAGATGGAGACGTCTAGGCTCTCCCTTGTTGGGATTTGACAAGTATTGAATGAAATATGGCCTACTAAATACTTCATACAGAATGCACAGTACTACAATTCTTATGATGAAGTGAGGCCGCCTAGCAGAAAAGGTGGTACCAAAAATATGGTACCCTTAACTAATTTGAGAGTCAACATCAAAAGTACTCATGAAAACAGGACCCAGAGTCCAGACCACCAGTGGACTGTGAGTTAGCACACAGAGCTGATGCGGCGCTGTCCTCAGGAGGTCCTGAGTCTGCGTCAGGAGCACGTGTGACAGAGCGGCTGGGCTCTGTTCCTGGCCAAGGTGCTCGCTGTTTTGGGGACCACACCTCGGCACATCTAATCCACCCCAGGGCAAATCCGCCTCCACCCACGACCTCCATATTAATCTAGTAACTGCACATCTGCTAACAGAGAAACATCCCTGACCATAAATGCTTTGGAAACAACAAATTCCCTCCCTAGCTGAAGAGCAATAAATTATTTCATAAAAACAAAATATGGAAGAGTTTGAGAGCAAGCAGACGGACACAGAAATTAACTCAATCTGTTGATTACATCCTGTTTTTACAATTAGTTGCTTATTACCCACAGTGACTACAACTCTGATCAATGAAAGCAAAGGCCAATAACATGCGATCTTTTGCAATACCAAAGTCTTTAGACAGGTGTGATGGGGCACACCTGTAATCCCACCACTATAGGAAGCTGAGGCAGGAGGATCACAAGCTCAAGCCCAGCCAGGGCAACTCAGTGAGACCTTGACTCAAAAAGAGTTTTTAAAGAGGGCTGGGGATGTAGCTCAGTGCCAACGCCCTGGGTTCAAGCCTCAGAACCACCACCGCCAAAAAAAGCAGCTGTGCTCATTAAGAAGCTGCCTGTCCCATTCTAACTGCACAGCGACAGTGCTCTGGCTGTATCTGTAGCAACGTCTTCAGTCGCTAAAGCATCTGGTGTAATTCGCCCATTTCGCTCTGCAACGTGTGCCTGAAGACTGCTCAGCAGACCCTCCGCCTTCCGCGCTTTTCTTTAAGCCTGCGCCTCTCTTCTCGGGCACCAGATGGCGCCGGTGCCTGCAGGGAGAGCAGCGACCCTGTGCTCCAGCTGCCCGGCTGGCTGCTCGAGCCTGGACCAGCTGCAAGCCGGGAAAAGGAGGACACTGACTTGGGCTGGCGTTTCCTTGCATGTGTATCACACAAACTTCAAAACCCAACGCAGGTGTTGCTGCTGCCGCTCTGCTCTGCAGAGGATGCGGAGAGCTTTGCTGGCGGGTCCGCGGAAGCCAGCGGGCAGCGTGGCACCATGGCCAGAGCCTGGTTTCACTCTGCTTTCCGCACTGTGTGAGGCAGAAAGGCCGTTTCCTTCTCTGCACCTTGGTTACGATCTCTAGAACGAGTGTGACCATGGCCCTGGCATCCAGCTCTGAAGTCGTGGGAGGAGGAAGTCGTTTACTCACAGGGAGTGCCTCGAGTGCCACGGCACCAGAGCAACATCTGCAGCAACACGGGTGGGGGCCGAGAGCAGAGTCTGGGATGGAGTGACACCCCACACACTGGGGCACCAATCGGGGTAAGAGCTGCTCCCGCCACTCGCCTCGCCCTGGGCCTGTGAGTCACCTGTCCTCAGCCACAAATTGGGGATGAAATAACCTGTGTCTGTTACGTGCTTAGGGAAGTGCTGAGTGCTTGGGAGGTGCTTATTTCGTAGGGCAGAGAGCTACCTGGCGTTAGGGGTTTGGATTGTGACCCTGGACACGGGTTTGTGGCTGTGTCACTCAATCTCCTGGAGCTCAACCTGCAAGATGAGCTGAGATGAGGGTGCAGGTAAACGCCACGCGTCGCACAGGGGCTTCATGAGGAACAGCATCTGAGCATCTGCAGGCAGCCGGGGGAGACAGGTCAAAGCCACGGGAAGAGTACAACCCACGTTCACAGATGGAAACAGAAATGCAACAGGAATCGGAGGAGCTGGGGTCCACGCAACGCCAAGTGCATGGTGGGGGTCACATCAGGAGCCAGGCTGGGGACAGGTCACCGAGAGCTTTGGCAGCCGGGCCAGGCATTCCGGGCCTTCTCAAGGGGACGCCCATCGCAGCTGGCTGAACGGCGCTGTTGAGGGAAAGGAGGAGGAGCGGGGAGAAGCTCTTACACTTTAAGGCTGAGTCAACCAACCCAGGGAAGCGGCCCGTGGGGTCTCAGCTCATGTTTCTGGGCCATCCTCTAAGGCCGGGGCCGAGCACGGACAGCACAGCATGAGCACGTGTCCTGAGGGGTGTTCTCTCTTGCCCAGAGGCTTCAAACCCTCCTGCTGTACCCACTGCCTGTGTGGGTGATCTCAGAACGGACAGGTTTAGTGCTGATGGGGTGGTGTTGGTGTTGCATTTAAGAGACTCAGATACCGACTCCTGGCTGAAACGCCAACAGACCGGCCTGCGTCTGCAAGATGCACAGCAGCAAACAACGGGGACAGCACGGGGCGGTGGGCCAACCGCAGGAGATGTCACAGGGCCATGAAAACCAAGCCTCTGCTCCTTCTAGCTGCCGCCTCCACCCAGAGAAGTTAGGAGGAAACCTGCAGGCAGGACAGGGAGGAAATGTCCCTGTCTGAGTGCTGCCCCGCCAACGTCACCTCCAAAATCCCCATCTGATAAGGACGCAGAGTCTGATTCCCAAATACCTACGGAGAATTTGCAGAGAGTGGGAAAAATAATCCCCCTGTATCAGCAGGAGACAAGGCAATCACATCTACTACAGGACCAGTCTGCTACTCAGTTACAGACATGAGCACGCTAGGGTTGCCCAACGAAATATCATAAGAAAAAAAGTCACTGTGCAAAGCCAGCCAGGGCTACACAGTGAATTCAAGACCAGCCTGAACTACACAGTGAGACCCTGTCTCAAAAAAACAAAAGTCACTATGTGTTGCTTTCAGTGATTTCCTTTTTCACATTGCTCCACACCTGTGATCCCAGCACTTCTGGAAGCGGAGGCAGCAGAATCACAAGCCCAGTCTGGGCAAACTCAATGAGACTCTGGTTCAAAATTTTAAGAAATATATTTTTTTAAGGGTTGGGGATGTACAAAGGCCTGGCATTCGCACTCCAGAGCCATCCGTAACAACCCAACAAGCCCAAAAGCCACTGTGATAGAAAAGCTCTGCTTGGACTCGCAAGAGCAGCGACAAGGTCAGCTTGGGGCATTAGAAACAGGTG